TCCTCTCTTCGCTTCGCCTTGCAAAAAAGGTCAAGTTTAAAAGCAGGCTGGGTCTGCAGCTACCCGTGTGCGCGCGTGTGTGTCTGTGCCTGCATGCACGCGTGCACGCACGCGATCACACAAACACACACAGAGAGAGAAGGAGAGCGAGAGCGCGCGACTACCTACCCCATCCCAACACTCAGGCATGGCAGGCTCGCTGGGCAAAGAGGCGGCCGTGGGGCGTCCCCGGTCTGACTACTACTACTACTACTACTACTACTACTACTACTACTACTACTACTACTACTACTACTACTACTACTACTACTACTACTACTACTACTACTACTACTACTACTACTACTACTACTACTACTACTACTACTACTACTACTACTACTACTGATGCTGATGCTGCTGATGCTGCTGATGCTGCTGATGCCGCGGCTGCTGTTCCGAATCCCAGGCTCTGCAGTGGGCTGGCCTCTTTCCACCGGCATTTATAGAGCGACTCTTCCCCCCCCCCGCGCCCCGCTCCCTGGCTTCCTCCTCGCCGGCTCCAGAGGAAGATTGGCTTAACCGTGCAGGCAGCTGCTCGCACGGAGAACCCTGATAGGCTGTGGGGGGAATCCGTTGCATTTCAGCTGGCTGAACCCCCCCCCCCGCGGTGTGCATTGGAAAACAGCAGCAGCAGCAGCCGCAGCAGCAGCAGCCGCGAACCCTCTACGTCCGACTCCGGTCTCCATTTTTACGCTCAGGAGTCGAGAAGACCGAAGGGGCGCCTGCCCGGAGGAAAGGGCAGCGGGCTGACCGTCGCGACCCGGGAGGTGGCCGGAGGAGCACCAGCCAAGGCTCGGAAGCCCGAGGGGAATCTGCTTTCTCTGAGCCAGGAAGACTCGCTGGCCTGGGAAGAGCAGCGCGAATCCGCCCCCCCCCCCGAATGGCCGGCCAGCAAGGCCAGCGGACCCCCTGCGGGCTCCCATCCTTCCCAGGCCCTGCTGCCGGGCCGCCTGAGGGTCCCCAAGCGCTTCAAGGCCTCTCCCCTCAGCTCTCTGTCCCTTCCATCACGCCAGTCCTTCAGCGCCACTAGGCAAAACCAGCAGAGAGGCAAAAAAAGCCACATGCGGATTTCCCAGGGTCCATTTACAAAACAGAAGCAGGCGGGAGAGACTCTCTTTGCAGAATGAAGGGGGCCTCCTGAAGGTGGGACGTGGGCCCCTTGTTTTAGAATAAACAGTCTTTTCCCTTTGGAGAAGTCCTGCCTCTAACAACATGTGAACTGGATAGGGTTAGAGCACTCTTGGGGGGGAAGGCGCACGTTCTGCCACTCTTTGGGGGAGGAAAAGGGAAAGAAGAGGGAAGAGTCATGCATGCACATGTAGCTCTTTCCTTAGGGAAGGAGGCTACCGGAAGGCCTGCGAAGCATGAGCGTGATCCTGCACCCAACCTGCCCTTCCTGTGAAATCCGGCAACCAGTTTTGCACGCCTTCTGTGCCTCTTGAGAACCCTGCCCTGACACACAGAGGGTCTGCTGGAGGAAGAGGGGGGGCTTTGGGGAAACGGGTGCAAGAAGGGGGAGTCCAGGCCAGGAGAGGACAGACCCCCCCAACTCCCCCCAGGACAGGCTGCTCTGCAGGGCAGGACTCTGAACTTTGCCCGCAGTGTCTTTCGCCGGGCTTCCTCCTGCGGGCAACGCTGGACACCTTGTTCTACTTACGACAGCTGAGAGTGTCTTCCGTAGGAGCGTAGGGCGGGGGAGCCACATCCTTGCCTGCCAGCATTTTGTGGGGCCCACAACCATACAGGGCATCTGCTGGTGCCCATTACGGTCCTGTGGACTGTACACCTGGCTGGGATTCTGGGGAAGCCCTTCCTACAGATGATGACCCTCTGAGCAGCCTCTGAGACCCTGCAACCTGGGGGGGGGCCACCCCCGTGACCCCCGTCTCTGCAACTACTCGGCCTGGCGATTCAAGCTCTCCCCTGGACAGCGTCAGGGTAGGCCCAAACAGAACGAGACACACACACACACACCCCCGCCTGCCCGGTCTGCCTCCTTGCCCAGGTGAGACCCCCATGGCCTCCTTCTCTCCTTCTGCGGGGAAGGTGGCTGGGCTTTGAAGAGAGGACAGCCTGGGAACTCTTGGGTTCCCTTCCACCCAGTTCCTGCCCAATGACCCTAGAGCTTTATAGGTGCACGCACACAAACATACACACACACACACCAGCTCCATAGCTGACCCCCTCCCTCCTGTGGCCTGACCTGGCCCAGCCCCATGGAGTCAACAATCTGTCCCGCCCAAGGGCAGCTCCACGTCAAGCCCCCACGAGGGCCTCCTTGTGGGGCTACGCGGAGAGCCTGACGACTCTGCCCGGGTGCCCACCAGTGTGAAAGATGCCCGGGGGTTTTGCTGAAGAGCAAAGTGGTAGCCAAGCACAGCCAAGCTGCCCTCCAAGGATTTCAAAACGGGAGAAGTGAAAGCAGTCCTCGGCCCCTTTGGAAAGGTAGCAGCAAACCTTTTGTCTGAATTTGGGGCCCAGACTGTTCCGACAGTTTTGGGGAGAATTGCACACCCCCCACCCCACTGCAAACAAACCCCTGGGCTAAATGCCTTGACCACTCTCTATGTGAAGAGAGAAAGAAGCAAGGAGGAAAGGGGGAAACACAACCTGTAAAGACAGGGAAAGAAAGTCTGTGTTTAAACGAGCGAGCGAGCGAGCGTTTCTGGCTCAGATCCTGGGAAGGAAGCCAAGCTCTGCTTGTTCGCTCCAGACGCTGGAGGTGACCGAGCCCGTCCCTTCGTCGTTAAAGGTGCCGGCAAGGAGAACGCTCCTGCCAAGGCCTCCTCGGAGTCAGTCTGCTGAGCCATCGTCTTCTTGTCCAAATATCAACCGGACGTTGCATCAGTCTGGATGCGGCATCTTTCCCACGCCGTCATGGGGCTCAGTCCAACGCTCATTCCTCGGACGGGGGCCAGGCGACTCCCCCTTGAGCCACCCGAGATGCTTCCTTGCTGTTGAGTCTCATCCTGGCCAGAGCCATGCTAATGACTTGCGCCAACGTAAGCACAGCAGCCTAACTCTGAAGAGGCAAACGGGTTCAGCTGTCGGAGGTTCTAGGTCTTGCCAGGCACCAAGAGATGCCCCTGGCGAGTGACGGGAAACGGGAGCCTTGGCTACTTAACTGGCAGTCACGGGCCACCAAGACCTACCCTGTTGAACTCCCACCGGCGGGCATTAAGTCACAGGATTTTGGCCACTGTTCAGATCGGGTATTACCCCTGAGCAGCCCTGCGTTATTTCACCCTCACTTTAGGATGACGAATCTCAGTTTCCACTATTTTCTTCAGGGGCAGCAAGCCGGAAGGTGGGCCAGCTCAATGGGTCCTTCCTTCCTTCCAGGGAAAGCTGGAGAAAACCCCCCCGCCACCCCCCTACAAGTTGATACCCGTTTGCCATGAGCGCTGAGGGGTTCTCCTTTGGGGGTCAGAGGGCCGAAGACTTCCAGGGCCTTCCTTGACAGCCCCATTATCAAGTGCCTTCTCTAAGCCACGTGTCATTTTGGTTGCATGAGGAAAGCCCAGATTAAGCTTAGTCGTGTGCCAAGAAACCTCTCGCAAACGTAGCAATCCTTACCCGTCGTTGCCTTTTGCTGTTTACGAGTGTCCCGTCATGACCAAGAACTTTAAAATCGGGAGAAAGGAGAAAATCGGGAGAAAGTGTGTCCCGAGAGACAGGAGTCTTCTAATGTTTGATGGGTACCCACTCATGCTTTTCTGCTGGCCGCTTTGGTGGCCCGGTCTGGTTCAGCCGTGGAGGGTGGAACCCTGGCATAACTATGGCCAGAGCTGACCAACGCCTCCTTGTGGCCAGGTTAGACGCTGCAACCATTTAATAGGTATCTAGAGAAGTGGGTTTTATTTCAGGAAAGCTCACACTGAAATAAATCCTTTAGACTTTAGAACTCTGCAGTCTTTAATTCTGCCCCCCCCTTATCCTTCTCTTTCTCCCTTTAAATATTTATTATTCTCAGTTAGAGGAGACACGTTGAATCCGTTTTCGGGTGGTGAGTCAAGACTTATTTAAACCCTACTGATTCAAAGGGAGCTCCCGACCGGACCACCAGAAAGATTCTGCCCACACAGGCGATCTAATAGTGTGTAGGATGGGCAGATAGCCCAGCTCCTGGGGCTCCTTTAAGGCAAACAGGGTGGGCTTCCATGGATGACCACCCACTTCCTCAGATACATATAGACTTCAACACCAAAAGTATCTGTTCATCTAAAGGTGACTCAGAACTTCCGGGTTATTTTTTTTTCTTGGTTGGATTTTTTGCAATACCTGCTGAAACAGACAAAAATGGCTGTGAAAATTACAGCTGTTGTGGTAATGCTTATTGGATTGAATTGGGTTGTCTGAATGCTCTGCCGGGAGATGAAGCTGGGAGTCAAACAAGCAGCCCAGATCCAGACCATAACTCCGCAGGGACTGGTTGGTTTTGAGACCCCCTGTTCCCGGGGGTGGGGGGTGGGGGTGGGGTTGGCTGCTTGGGGGGAGGGAGCTACGGCGGTGGCCCTGCTGCTGCCCCCTGCTGGTTGAGCTCTACATTACAATTCATCCACTTCTGCTCCTGCTAATGCTGGAGTCAAATTAGATTTATGGCCACTGACTCAAGCTGGTGCCGCCTCTTGCTGCAGCAACGGATGCCGCAGAGCTCTTTTGCAAGGTTTGGCTCCTGGCGAGTCACAGAAGGTGTTGGGCTGTGGCCTTGAATGAGTCCTGAGCAAGGCCACGGCTTCCGTTGGCACCTCTGAACCATGCAAAGCATTGGCGGTGGGGGGTTGGACTTAGGATGCTTTTCATGGTGTTGCTGACCTCTAGCTAGATGCACGGCCATTTGATCTACCTTGACGAATATTACTGCCCACGGCTCAGACATCCAAATCAGCTTTTCCTGAGTGCTGGTGTGAAACGAAGAGGGAAATCCCTAGGCACCAAGGCAGCCATCCCAGATGGGCCACTAAACGTGAGCTCCGTGGCTCACAACAGGCATGCCAAGGGTCCAAGCGGCTTTATCATCTCTGCCTGCTGGAGACTTGGCTTGCTAGCTTCCTTTCTACTGGTCCCAGTGGCAAACTGGGCCAATGCCTGGAGCTAGTGGAGCAGAGAACAAAAAAACCAGGGCCCAATGCTGTGGACCACTGCCGTCCCTGGTGCTGGGATTTCTCCTGCTGAGTGGGCGCCCGGCTCCTCCGAGAGGGGAGAACAGCTCGTTCCTGCTGCCTTTTGCCGTTGGCGGCAGTGGAAACCCAGGGAAGGGAAGCTGCCTCCTTTTCAGGCAGGGGAGGACTTGGGGGGGGGGGGTCCATGCAGCCCAAGGCCCAAAGGGGGGGTTAGAAACAACGTGGTCGCAGTACAGAAAAGAGGAAACCAGAAGCACAGCCGAGGAAGCTGCCTGCGAATGTCCAATTCGACCAGTCCGTCCTCCGTCCGGATGGAGCAGGGCGCTCCAGACCCAATCAGCCAACAGAGCAGAACAAAAAGAGGACAAGGAGAATCCCCTGGCAAAATGGGACACGGCCCCGGCCCGGCTCGGGGGCAACGGAGCGGCTGCAGCCAGAAAGGGGGATCGGGAATCTATGTGCCAGTTTACAGAGACGACCAGCCAGGTGGGAAGTGGGCGTCACTGAGGGGCCTGAGCCGGCCCTGAGGCTTTTGCCCCTGGGCTAGTGAGCCAACACCTGGGTGGGAGAGCCAAGGGGGAAGACCAAGGGTCTTCGGGTGGGGCTCAGAGTGAATCCTGCCTAGAAAGCCTGGAGCCTTGAAGCAGCAAGACGGGGCCGGAGGAACGCCCCTTAAGGGTCAGTTTCCGAGGCTGTGCGGATGCCCAGAGGGCATCACGAAGGAGACGATTCCAGACGGCCTTTAAAACAAGGCGGGTTTTAACCTGGACCTTCCCCCCACACACACACCCCGCAGACCTTTCCAAGTAATACTAAACTAGCACAGAATATCTGCTGCCTTCTTCTACTCCCCCCACCTTT